GAAGTGCGGGCGCGGTTGCAGGCGTGGGAGCGCGCGTTCCGGCGGCGGCGAGGGCGACGACCGGGCCAGGTGCGGGCTGCCCGGGGACTGGGGGCTGAGGGCGCGGCCCCCGGCTGACGCGCTTCCTTCACAGGAGGACGTGGAGGCGGCGCCCGAGGAGACCCGCGGTGAGCACGCGGGGTGGAGGGGGTGGGGAGCCGGGGGACCCCACCCGACCCGTGACCCCCGAGACCCTCGCCCCCAGCGCTCTACCGGGAGTACCGCGCCCTGAAGGAGGCCCTGGACCAGGCCGGCGGCGTCAGGCCCGAGCAGTCGCTCCCCGCTGCGGCCGAGGAGGTACCCGGGCCCCGACACCCTGGGTCAGCTCTGCACGGCGGAGCCAAGAAAGAGCACAGAACTTGGCAGGAGGACTGGATGGGGTGGAGGAGGGCCAGGCCCTCGCCAAGACTCTGGGGGGCTGAGGAGGGAGGCTGGAGACTTCTCCGCCTCCCACACCAGCCTTTCCTTGGTGCGAGCCACCGCTGTCTCCTCCTGCAGGTCTTAGAGCTCAGCTGCTGGGGGTCCCACCTGAATCGGGCTGCGACCCAAAGTCCCCAGCTGACGCCAGGACCAAGCCCTCGGGCGTCTGTGCAGGACTACGGGAAGAGGCTTAAGGCTAATCTAATGGGGACTCTGCAGGTGAGGGGGAAGGGCTGGGGAGGCAGTGCATCCAATCTGGGTCCAGAACTGCCTCGGCCTAGGAGCAAGATCACCTGACATCTCTTCTTGTCAAGTCTTTCACGCACACACGTGTTTGCACTAGTACACTTGCACGCATGGCTATAGCGTTAACCAGAGCACAATTCCTGAAAGGAGCTCAAGGCCAGCCTGGTGCTGCTCACCTTGCCCCTCCATTGAGGTTGGGGACCTTGGCAGGTTTCAGAGTCCGCAGCAGCCTTGGGGCCTGAGTTCCTGCTTGCTAGTCTGTCCTCCCCCTCCCAGGCTGGGCCAGCCCTGGGCCGCACACCCCGGCCTCCACGAAGACCTTCATCCAAGATGCCCACCTCGCAACTGCCTGATGCAGGGGCTGCCCCCATCTCTCCAGAAAAAGTCAGTGAGGGTCCCCCACAGCCTCCCAGGCCCCAGCTGAGGCCAGGCCGACTCCAGCAGCTGCGGGCGTCCCTGAGCCTGCGGCTGGGCTCCCTGGACCCTAGCTGGCTGCAGCGGTGTCACAGTGAGGCCCCAGACCTTCAGGGGGCTCCTGAGGCCTGCCAGCCTGGCTTGGGTACAGAGGAGTCACAGCCTCTGAGTTCAAGTGTCCCATCCGTCGGTCTCAGCACTGGCCCCGAGGCACCTTTACTGGGCCTAGAGGCTCCAGCCCTACAGGCAGCCAGAGTCCGTGCAGGGAGCCCCCAGCCTGGCAACACTCAAGGCAAAAAGCAAAGGAAGAGTGAGGAGCCAAGGCGGAACCCTGCACAGGCCCAGCAGGACAGCAGCCAAGCAGAACTCCCACCTGGGAGAGCTGGGGCTACAACATATGCAGAAGGGTGTCTAGGGGAGCCTGTGTGGTCACAGCCCCCCAGCAGCCCAGCGGCCCCCAGGTACCGTGGCTTCATGCTCCTAGCAGGGTCACCTTGAGTCAAGCTGGGGGGGTGGGCAGGGCTTTGGGCATGACCCACTTGTGCTTCCCTTCTAGGCCAGCCATCCAGGACAGGAGCAATTATGTGCGGCTCAACATGAAGCGGAAACACTACGCGCGGGGCCCAGCCCTTCGTGGCAGGCTCCTCCGCAAACAGGTGAGACGGCAGCAGGCGCTCCCCTCACCCTTCCTGCTTCTCACCTTGTGACTCTCTTTTGTGGTCCTCACAGGCATGGAGGCAGAAGTGGCAGAAAAAAGGGGAGTGTTTTGGGGGTGGTCAGCCCAGAGCCACAGTCAAGGATTCTTGCTTTCGGTGTGGGCAGCTTGGCCACTGGGCATCACAGTGTACTCACCCAGGTGAGGCCTCTGTCCTGGGTGGGAGGTTGAGCCGACACTGCTTGAAGAGGGTGTTGTGTTCTTTGGGGGGGCACTTGTGGCTCAAGCGAAAGCCCCTACTAACTTGCCACCTCTGGCCCAGCACCTACCCTGGCTCCCCAGAAGGAGGCCGGTGAGGATGAGGGTGACACGCAGACCCTGCCCACGTTGGAGGAAGTAGCCCAGCGGACTGGTACTGCTACTTGCCAACTCCCTGGTGAGTGAAGGGATGGAGAAGATTTTGTAGCCAGTGGCCTTTTTGCTAGAATGATCCCTGCCCAGGTTGGAGCTCCCACACCACCCTTTCCTGTCTGCTTCCAGCAGGTGAGAAAGATAAAGAGCCTGCTGGGCCTAAGCTGCTGATACCCACGGAGCAGCCTGTGCCCGGGGCGCCTTGCCCGCCCCCCACCATGCCGCCACTCTACCCACGGGGGCCCTCTGGGCAGGTGGCAGGTGAGCAGGCCAGCCTAGAGCCTTTACTGAGAGATAGGGGTGATGTGGGTTCACGCTGACTGAGACCTGTGACCACAGAGACACCAGCTGAGGTGTTCCAGGCCCTAGAGCAGCTGGGGCACCGAGCCTTCCGCCCCGGGCAGGAGCACACAGTCATGCGGATCCTGTCTGGTGAGCAAGGCTGCCAGGGGGTGAGGAGGGATTGAAGCCAGGCCACAGAGCGGCGCTACTATCCTTGGGTCTCACATAGGCATGTCTACACTGCTGGTGCTGCCCACGGGTGCCGGCAAGTCCCTGTGCTACCAGCTCCCCGCACTGCTCTATGCCCGGCGAAGCCCCTGCCTCACACTCGTCATCTCTCCCTTGTTGTCACTCATGGACGACCAGGTAGGCAGACAGGGCCCTCCGGCATGTGCAGAAGGCAGGCGCCCACAGCTCCTCTGATCCCCTTGGGCTGCTGCTGCTTGCCCCATCCCCACCTGGGGGCTGCAAGGAGCCCGGCTCTTCTCCGCCTGCCAGCTCTGTCCACAGGCGTAGCAGTGGCCCAAAGGCAATAGGCATGCGGGTGGCCAGACCCAGGACCACCCCCAAGAGAAGCAGTGCTAGGAAGTGGGGGACATCCCCACAAGGGCCTGTGTACTCTTGGTGCTCCTGAGCCAAGGACCACAGGTGGCTCTGAACGCTCAGTCGTACGACCCAGGATCTGTGTTTTTCCCACAGAAGGCTTGGGGTGGAGACGGTGGTAGCTCTTGGGCAGAGCAACCCTGAGTGGCATTTGGGGAAGGGCCAGGGCTGGCAGGCCTGCGATAGGCTGTGCTCCTGTATCTGCAGGTGTCTGGCCTGCCCCCGGGCCTGAAGGCAGCCTGCATCCACTCGGGCATGACCAGGAAGCAGCAGGACTCTGCCCTGCAGAAGGTGAGGGGCCTCCACAGGCCAAGACAGGTGGGAGCAGCGGGCAGCACCTGGGAGGTGCTCCTGACCCTGCTGTCCTCAGGTCCGGGCAGCCCAGGTGCACGTGCTGATGCTGTCGCCTGAGGCACTGGCTGGGGCTGGGGCAGGGGGCCCTGCCTGCCTCACTCAGCTGCCCCCGGTTGCCTTTGCCTGCATCGATGAAGCCCACTGCCTCTCTCAGTGGTCCCACAACTTCCGGCCCTCTTACCTGCGAGTCTGCAAGGTGAGCCTTGTCTGGGGTACAGGTGAGGATGCCCAGGCAGGTGAGTTGGGTGTTCTCACTGCTCCCTCTCCCACACAGGTGCTACGGGAGCACATGGGCGTGCGCTGCTTCCTGGGTCTCACAGCCACAGCCACACGCAGCACTGCCCGGGACGTGGCCTGGCACTTGGGTGTGGCCGAGGAGCCTGTCCTCAGGCTGCCAGTCACCATCCCCACCAACCTGCACCTCTCTGTTTCCATGGACAGAGACCCAGACCAGGTAGGTGTGCACACTGGGGCCCAGCAGAGGCTCCACCTCCTGACTGCCCACGCTGACCAACATCCCCCCCAAGGCTTTGGTGACACTGCTGCAGAGTGACCGCTTTCGTGCCCTGGACTCTGTCATCGTCTACTGTAATAGGCGAGAGGACACTGAGCGTATCGCTGCACTGCTCCGCACCTGCCTGCTTGAGGCCTGGGCCTCAGGGCCCGGAGGTGAGGTGGTGGCAGGACCATACCCCACAGACCCGTCTGGCACATGCCCCACCTGACTCTGTGCATTTTCCCTGCAGGCAGAGCCCCAGAGGCTGTGGCTGAAGCCTACCACGCTGGCATGTGCAGCCGGGAGCGGCGGCGGGTGCAGCAGGCCTTCATGGAGGGCCGGCTGCGGGTGGTGGTGGCCACAGTGGCCTTTGGGATGGGGCTGGACCGGCCAGACGTGCGGGCCGTGCTGCACCTAGGGCTGCCCCCGAGCTTCGAGAGCTACGTGCAGGCCGTGGGCCGGGCGGGGCGTGACGGGCAGCCTGCACAGTGCCACCTCTTCCTACAGCCCCAGGTAGGTACCCACCCCTCTCGAGCTCCCCCACCCCAGCCAGTGCCACAGCCCACGTTCATGGCTGTTTCTCAGGGCGAGGATCTGCGGGAGCTGCGCAGACACGTGCACGCCAACGCCACTGACTTCCTCGCTGTGAAGAAGCTGGTGCAGCGCGCGTTCCCACCCTGCCCCTGCGCCCAGTGGTCCCCAGAGCAGGAGGGGGGCCACAGTGAGGAGAGGGGCTCGGCCAGGGCCCCTGTGGCCATGTCTGCACAGGAGGCCACAGCCCGGTGCCTGGGCCATGACCGGGCACTCCTGGTACAGCCAACGGTGCAGGCCCTGGACATGCCTGAGGAGGGTGAGGAACCAAGAGCAGGAGGGGGGAGTGTCCCCATGTCCCCACATCCCCTGAGTTCCGCTCTGCCTCCTAGCCATTGAGACCCTGCTGTGCTACCTGGAGCTGCACCCACGGCGCTGGCTGAAGCTGCTGGCACCCACCTATGCCCACTGCCACCTGCGCTGCCCGGGGGACCCCACCCAGCTCCAGGCCCTGGCCTGCAGGTGAGCACACCTGCCACCCAGGCTAGGAACAGGAACAAACGACTGGGGCTGCCGATCACACGTCCCTTTTCCTGACACAGGTGTCCCCCACTGGCTGTGTACTTTGCCCGGCAGCCACCAGAGAACACAGGTGGGAACAGTAGCTCTGTGGAGTTTGACATGGTCCAGCTGGCAGACTCAATGGGCTGGGAGCTGGCCCCTGTGCGACAGGCTCTCCGGCAGCTGCAGTGGGACCCAGAGCCCAGGACAGGTGCACCTTGCCCCCAGCCCTGCTTGTCACCTGCCTGCCCACCTGCCCGTGTCTCATACGCTCTCTGGTAGGTGCACCTCGGGCCACGGGGGTGCTGGTGGAGTTCAGGGAGCTGGCCTTCCACCTACACAGCCCCGGGGACCTGACCGCCCAGGAGAGGGACCAGATCTGTGACTTCCTATACAGCCGTGTGCAGGCCCGAGAGCGGGAAGCCCTGGCCTGTCTGTGCCGCTCCTTCCAGGCCTTTCACAGGTGCAGGAGAGGGTGGGCAGGGCAGGAGAGGGTGGGCAGGGCCTGGGGCCGCCCCACCCTCCCCCAGGTGGGCAGCGCTGACAGGTCTCTCCCATGGCAGCGTAGCTTTCCCCAGCTGCGGGCCGTGCCTGGAGCAGCCCGACGAGGAGCGCAGTGCCAGGCTCAAGGCCCTGCTCAGCCACTACTTTGAGGAAGAGGAAGCAGGAGAGGGGCTGGGAGGCATGGAGGACCCAGAACTGGGGCAGGCCAGGGTGAGTGCCAGCCCTCCTGTGGGACTGCAGAAGCCATGCGCCCGGGGCGGTTAGGCAGTGGTGTGTGCACACCCCACCTCCTGCCCTGCACCGCCATGGGCTGTGTGGACGCAGTGCTGCAGAAGCTGCAACGTGCCCCCACCCGCAGCTTCAGGACTGGGAGGACCAGGTCCGCCGAGACATCCGCCACCTCCTGTCCTCATGGCCAGAGCAGCAGTTCTCGGGCAGGGCCGTGGCCCGCATCTTCCACGGCATTGGTGAGGGCCTGGGAGGCTTGGCCGGGACACAGACAGAGCTGGGGGCTGGACTGGTGGAGTTCTCAGAGCCGTGTCTTCTGGTCCACCGCAGGAAGCCCCTGCTACCCAGCCCAAGTGTACGGGCGGGACCGGCGCTTCTGGAGAAAGTACCTACACCTGAGCTTCCATGCCCTGGCACACCTGGCCACAGAAGAGATCCTGCTGTGGGGCCGCTGACCACCCTGCGGATGAAGAGCCCTGGTTCCCCCACATCACAGACACAGGCATGAGCTGTGCTGCATGGCCACGGTGTGGAGGAGGATTCTGGTGCAGCAGCTCATCAAGGCAAAGGCACCAGGATGTCAACGGCCAGGACAGTGACTGACCACCCTGGACAAAGCCCCTTGCCAGGGGGCGAGGGGTGGGGCAAGGAGACCCTAAAATGCAGAATAAAAGATGTTCGAGTCGTTTTTAGAGACTCTCCTTTCCAGCGGCACAGTACCCACAGTCGAAGGACAGCTTTGCACATCACACATCCCAGACACAGCCAGGCCACGGGCGCACTCGGCTTTATTAACCAGTCCAGCTGCCCAGCTCAGGCCAGGGTGCTGGGGGCCAGGCCCAGGTACACAATGGGCGTGGCTGAGAGAGCAAGGAGGAGGGAGAAGCAGAGGTGCAGCCCCAGGCCGTCAGCCAGGGCTCCGGCGAGCGTGCCCAGTAGCAGCTTCCCCAGCAGCTCCAGAGTGGCCAGGAGGCTGTAGTGTGTGGCCTGGGGGTGGGGGGATCAGGATCAGGTCAGGACCTGATTGCACCCCAGCCCTGCGGCCCCTTGGCATCCCAGTCACACCCCCTCACCTTCAGGGCACCGGATGCCAACTGGCTGCAGCGCATCATCAGGGTGAAGGTGGCGGTTGTGACCAGGCCTCCCAGGAAGTGCTGCAGACACAGGCTCAGCAAGGCTGCCCCTGGGAGGGCTGAGGTCAGCAGGGCCCAGGACTTCGGGCTTCTCCCCCCAGGGCTAGCCCCTCACCTCTCAGTACCGTGCTGGGGTCTAGCCTGGCCCCTGGGGTGTCCAGGTGGAAGAGGAGGGCAGTCTGGCAGGCCATGCCCCCGAGACGGAACCGAAGCACTGACCTCAGCAGGGGCAGCGGCTGCCTGGGGTGGGGAGATTGGGCAGGTCGGGGCATGCAGCAGGTCAGGGGGTGAGCAAGTGGGCAAGGCAGGGTGGGGAAGGCTCACCAGTGCCTGGCCAGCAGCGCCCCACCCAGGGACGAGCCAGCAATGGAACAGGCCACGGCGCCCACACCATTCCACAGCCCCAGCTCCGGGCTGGAGATGCCATGGTCCAGCAAGAGAAGCGGGAACAGGCTGCCGGCGCCCTGCTCACCTGTGGGGATACTGTGAGCAGAGGCAGCCCACTTCCCTTCTCCACCTGGGGCCTCAGTCATGCTCCCCCAGCCAGGCCCCTGCCCTGTCTCTGTCCTGGGCCACAAATGCAGGGAGACAGCGGAGATTGGGCATTGGCCAAGCTCAGGGTCAGCATGAAGCAGCTCCAGAAAGAACCAAGGGGTTGTGGCTGGAGCTCAGAGTGGCCACAGAGTTGCAGCTGAAGAAGGATGAAAGGCGAGGCCCAGCTGCAAAGCTGGGCTGGGCCTGCAGGTCACACTCCAGAAAGAGGGCAGCCCCACAAGTGGGTTCCAGGGTGGGCTCCTGGGGACCCACCTGGAGCTCCCCCAGGCTCCCACCCCTGCTGTGGCCTGACTCAAGGCCTCACTCACCCAGCTTGTAAGTGAGCACAAAGCCCGCTGTCCACAGGGTCCCAGGAACGGCCAGCAAGTCCTGCAGAAGGTGCAGGGTGTGTGGGGAGGGTTCTGAGGGCTGAGGTGCAGGCTGTTGCTGCAGGACGGGCGCACCCCAGGCCAGGGCAGCAGCCAGCCAATAGGTGGCAGCCAGGAACAGAAAGAGCAGAGGCCAGGAGAGGGTGGGCACAAGAGCCAGCAGCCCCCCCCCAGCCAGTACCGCCCCCAGCTTGTAAGCGACCACCTGCACCGTGTTGCCGGGGCCAAGCTCAGCTGACTCCAGGAGCTGCACGGCCAGCGTGTCCAGAGCCACATCCTGCACAGCCGCACCCAGGTTCAGCAACAAAAGCAGCCCCGCCACAGTGACGGGCAGCCCGGCCTGGCCAGCTTCGGCAGGAGGCAGGGCTGCCAGCAGCCCACACACCAGGCCCAGGGCGGCCGTGCTGAGCGTCAGCCAGGCCCTCGGGGAGCCCCGCGTGTCCACCAGCGGGGCCCACAGCAGCTTGAACAGCCATGGCGCGTACAGCACCTTAGCTAGCCCCACGCGTGTCAGGGAGAGGCCGCGAGCCCGCAGCAGCACGGGCAGCAGGCCGGACTGCAGCCCGTAGGGCAGGCCCTGCACCAGGTAGAGACCGGCCAGCGGCAGCAGCTTCCCACGCATGGCCGGAGAGCGGGCCCAGGGCCAGCCAGCGCCGAGGCCGGGCGGCCAGGCTGGAGTGGGATCAGAGTGGGGGCCGCGTAGGCCGGTCCGGTCAGGGATCACACGGAGGCATGGCTTTTGGGCTGGGCTGGGCGGGATCCCGGCCGGGCCGGGCAGCGTCCACACTCGTGCCCTCGTTCCGGGCCGTCGGTCCCGGTCCCGAAGAACCGCCACCCGGCCTCCGCTCAGCGCGGGCGCGCTGCGGCCATAGAGCGTCCGAGCGGGCCAGAGCGCCGGACGGCCGCCCGCGGGCGCCCCCAGTGGCCAACCTGGGTGCGGCCGGCCAGCTCGGGCACCGGCAGGAGTCCTTCGCAACCCGCAGCTCTGGTCCCTCCCAGGGTCATCAGATCCGGCCCCCAGACACCCTGGACACAGATGCGGCGCCCAGGCCCCCCAGACTCAGACCCTAACTCTCCAGAAGTGCTTCCTGGTGTCTTACCTGGAGCTTGATTGCTGCAGCGTCGGCCGGGTCCCTCCAGCTTTCCCCAGGGAGGAGCTGGCCTCTTAAGGTTCAGGGTCCACTACTGCAGACTTCTGCCACTCACCTAGCTGTGCTTGTGGTTTCAGCGCCCTCCCAAGCCAGTGGCCACAAAGGACCATGGAAGGCAGAAGGTTTGTGTGAAAGGTCAGGGCCCAGGCTTGGCCAGAATTCAGGCAGGTGCTGCCTGCGATGCCTTCTAGTGTCCAGTGACAAGGCCAGGAGAGTCTGACCAACAGGCCCCTGCCGACTCCAGCTGGCCCTGCCAGGGGCCCATCCAAGGGGAAGCGCAAGCCAATGTGGGGTCTCATGTGGTCTCTCCTCCTGCCCAGAGCTGCACACCGTGGGCCCCCGAGGCCCAAAAGAGGAAGGAGTGAAGCACAGACCGTGGTTAAGAACCACCTCCGGAGCAGACAGAGCTGGAGCCTTGGCCAGTACTGCCTCCAAGCCTCTGGGTCCCTGCAGCTGGCCCAACCCCTATACCAACCAGCAGGAACTTGAGCCAATGCACTCCCTCAGCTGCTGAAACCACTTTGAGTGGGCTTCCTATCACTTCCACATATTTGGGGGGCCCAAGTTTCCTGATCTATAAATGGGGGCTACCATGCCTACCTCAGAGGACTGCTTGGGCAGCAACCCACCAGTGTCTGACATGCACACAGTAGCTGCTCATCCCCGCGTTCCCATGGGGAGGACACACAGCTGCCCACCCATCCCCAGCCTGGGTCCTCCAGCCCAGCTCTCCCCAGACGCCTCTTCCTCAGCATCTTACCTCCCCTCTTCCCTGGCTCCTGCTCTCGTGCGCCCCAGCTCAAGAGGGGTCTCTCAGCCCAAGGCCTGCATGTGCACTAGGATGTCACACACACCACACACTTCAAACACAACATCGGCAAAGTGAAATCCATTTGTTCTTCCTCCCCTCCCCGCTCTGGGCACGGCTGCTCCTCCAGCAGCCTCAGGTGGCAGCACCACCATCGTCTACCCACTTAACAGGAAAACCAAGACATCCTCCTTGAGCCCCCACTGTGACTCTGTGTCCACTGCTCACCCCACCCAGCCAACTCCATCCTCCAGCTAACATGTTCCCTGTGCTGCCCCTGAGGAGGTGCAGGTGGCCAGGTGCTTTCCTTCATACCTCTCACTCTTCCTAATTCTTCTGTGAATATTTGTGGTCTCTGCCCCAAGACCAGGGACCACCGTGGAGACCCAGCCCACGGGAGGCTCTGCATCTGTAAGGTCACCTCCTATGGAAGCCCTCCTCGACCACTCCTCCTGAAGGCAGACGAGTGTTCCGCTCAGGGCTGGGTCCTCAGGCCTGCACAGACCCTGGCACAGAAAAGCAGTCAGAAGTGGACAGGTGGGGGAAGCACATACAGGTGTGCACACAACTTCTAGTCAGGCTATCTCACAGCTTTATTAGGGGCCTACAGAGAGGCAGGGGCCCAGCCCCACAGGCTGCAGGAGGAGACACCCAGGGTCCTGGCCATGGTCAGTCTAGGGTTGGCCCTGCCACACCACCCTGGCCGGGCCTGGGCCCCAGAGGGGTCCTCAGGAGTAGTCTCTGGTGAACTTGGCGTGGAACTGGCTCAGCTTCTCCAGCAGGGACCGCAGCTTCTCCATGGGGGGCAGAATGGTCATCCTAAAAGGGAAAGGAAGGTAAGTGAAGGGGGTGAAGCCCGCGAGGAGACCCTGCGCAGGCCAGGCCTCACCGGAAGTGGTAGGTGCCTTCCCGCTGCCCAAAGCCGCTCCCAGGCACCACGCAGATGCCCGTCTCCTCCAGAAGGCGCAAACAAAAGAACATGTCCGGAGCCAGGCCCAGCTCCTGGGGGCGGTCAGAGCGGGCGGGGCGGTCAGGATGGCGCGCCCCAGACCCCGCCCCCCGGAGACCCCGCCCCCTGCCCGCCTGCGCCAGACCTGAGCGCGCTGGACCGCGCGCGGTGGCAGCTGCACGCGGGGGAAGGAGTACATGGCGCCCTGCACCGGGTTGCAGTGGATGCCGGGAGCCTCGTTGAAGACTTGCTCCGTGAGCTTGGCCTTGGCCGCCAGCTCGGCCAGCACAGCCTGCCTCTCCTGCGGCCACGGAGGGAGGGCCCATTAGGCCGGGCCGGGGGCGTAGTGCTCCCGCAGCCCCAGCCCGCCCACTTTGTCGTCCTGACCCCTCAGCTCCTGCGGCTCACCGCCTGGAACTGGGCGAAGGAGGGGTCAGAGGGCGCGGGCGGGCTGACCACCATGTGTAGCAGGGCCTGGCCTGGCACAGGCGGGCACAGCCGCACGCTCATCAGCTTCTGCATCTGCTGCTGCACCGCGGCGTCCATGTTCACCACCTCCACGTAGCCGGCGCGGAACCCGCACCTACGAAGGGAGGGCGGGCGTCGAGGCAGGGCCAGGAAGAGGCGGCCGGCCTAGCGGGCGAAGGGAGCCAGGCGGCGGCCGGAGTCCGCGAGCCCCCGCCCGCCCCCCGGCCCGCACGCACTCGCCCATGTAGCCCTTGGAGACCGAATGGAAGGAGGCGAGCTCCTGCTGCGCCGCGTACGGCGGCCCCAGCTCCGTGAGCACCTTCTTGAACGAGTGGAACTGCGAGCCCTCGGCGTACACGTTGTCCTGGTACACCTGGACGGGCGGCCGGGCGTCACGAGGGCACCCGCCCCTGCCCTCCTTCCCCCTCTACGCGCACCCTGCCGGCACCTCATCAGCCATCAGGAAGAGCCGCTCTTCGAAGGCGAAGCGGATCACGGCCTCGATGCACTCGCGGGGCTGCACCTGCCCTGGGGCACGGGGTATGCGGCACGTCAGCCGACGGCGCCCTGCTCTCTGCGGGGCGGGGCGGAGCGGGGCAGGCTGACCGGGCGCGGCGGGCGGGGCGCACGTCCGGGCCAGCGCGGTGGGGCGGGGGAGGGGCGGCGCACCAGTGGGGTTGCCAGGGTTGATAACGCAGAGCGCGCGCGGGTAGCAGTGGTCACGCGCCTGGCGCAGTGCGCGCCGCAGCTCGGACACGTCGAGCGCCCAGGCGCGCTCCTCGTCCAGGTAGTAGTCCACCTGCACGGCGTTGAGCTCGGCCAGCGTGGCCGAGTACAGCGGGTACTGAGGGATGGGGATGAGCACGCCCGTGCGCGTGCGACCCTCGCCGGCCACCAACAACTTCAGCACTGTCTGTGGGCGGGATGGGGAGGCGGGGTTGGCGAGGCCAGGGGCTACACCCGTTCCCCGCCCTGGGCGTCGCCGTGCCAAGACGAGCTGGACCGGCCCAGCCACGCTCAAAGAGCCTGGTGTCCTCCTTCCTGGCCCCGGCCTACCACGATGGCGTCGCTGGCCCCTGTGGACAGGAAGATGTTGCTGGGGTCCGCGGGAATGCCTCCGTCGCGCCGCTCGATGTACCGTGCCACATCCTCGCGGATCAGCTGAATGCCGGAGCTGATGCTGTAGGCCCCTGGGCCGGGGTGGAGCAGGACGAGGTGGGAGGACACGTCAGGCCCCCTTCCCGCGGGCGAGCCCGCCCCTCCCCGGAACAGCCTCCCTCCAGCTCCTGCTTCTCCCTGGGGCTTGGGATGGCTCTGGCACTGGCACTTACCCAGGCTGTGGCCCCCGCACGCCTGCAAGATGCGCTCTGCCCTTCTCTTGGCATCCTCGGGGAAGTCGGGGCTGTTCAGGAGATCGGGGTGGATGCAGAGTGCCAGGACCTGGGAGGAGCGAGTGCTGAGGCCACGGCACATGGCCTGATGGGGGAGGGGTGCCAGGGCAGTGCTGAGCCTCACCTGGCGCAGGAAGGTGATGGGCTTCTGCCCCATGGCCTGTGCATCCCCGATGTTGGCACGGATGACCTCAGTGAAGGGCTTCTTTATGCCCTGGGAGGGAGGGGGTACAAGCAGTGAGAATGGGCCTTATCACTCCTGCAGGCCGCTGTCCCCTGTGACACTGGGGATGGGACCTACTCAGCTGCCCAAGTGCAGCCTGGAGGGTAGCGGGGCCCAGGGCCATACCTGGCACAGCTCCTGCTCCAGCTCCAGGGCACGCAGCACAATGGGGCCTCGTACCGCATACTCCACCCTCCGCACACACGGGTTCATGGTGTCCAGCGTCAAGACCTTCTCCTTCAGCCTGTTCATGGCAGCCTGGCTCTGGTCACCTGCCTTCAAGGCCATGACCCTGCTCAGACCAGGCAGGAAGGAGGCTCAGGAGGCAGCAGGGTCCAGCAGGGGGGATGAGGGAAGCTGGGTCCAGGCTCAGTGGGCCAGGCTGGGAAGGGGGGGCCTGGGTCAGGGACTCAAGGTAAGAGGGCCTGGTCTTCACTGCAGCCTGCTGGCCCCACTGAAAGGGACAGAAAAGCTGAAGGAGGAGCTGGTGCCACCCCGCCCCGCCCCACCGCTCTGGGCACAGTTCTTCCCCAGGCAGCCATAGGGAGTGGGTGAGGAGGCAGGCGGAGCTTGGGGCAAGGCCCAACGCCCGCCCAGTGTCCCCATGACAGGGGAGCAGGAGACCCACATGGGGGGTAGGGACAGACGGAAGGTCCAAGAAGCTGTGAGGGACTGGGCCCAGGGGAGGGGAGGGCCTGAGTGCCTGGGCCAAAGGGCCCTCAGGGGTTGGCAGAGCTGGGCAAGGCTGAACCCCAGGGGAAAATGGAGCCTGGGACCTCTGGCAATTTACCCCAGCAGGGCTTGGCCAAGGCCTAGCCCTCTCGGACCCCCCCCATCTTTGCTTGGCCAGCAGACCTGTCTCCCAGGTAACCGGGCCAGGCCTTAGGAATGCTGGGGTGTCAGGGGAGGGGAGTGAGGTGCTCAGACACAGGGTTCCATCGGGCCCTTCCTGGGCTGGCGGCATGACCTGGAGGCTGCAAGAGCCCTGTGATTGGACCTTGGTCCCCGGTCAGTGCTGCACGGCGGGAGTCTCTGGGTTGGGGTGTTGGGGGAGGGAGCACGGCAGCTCTGGGCCCTTGAAGGGCCCTCGGACACCTCAGCTGCTCTGGGCTGCTGCTGTGCCACGCCAGCCTGAGGCTGACCTTGGGGCACACCACAGGCCAGGTGACGTAAGCTCCCCATCCCTGTTGCTCCTGATTGGTGGAGAGAGGGGGAAACTAGCCGAGATAGGCCCTAGGGCCCCACCTCCACAGGCCCTGCAGGGAGCTGATAGGCCCCGCCCAGGAGTGGCTACCTCCAGCCGCCAGCATCTGACTCTGAGCTGGACCGCGGGCATGGGCAGCTGGTCAGGCCTAAGAGGAGCCTTGGCTCCTCGGCTCCTGCTGGCTGGAGAGAAAACAGAAGCCCAGGCGGCTGGTTCGCCTCTCACCTGGCACCTCTCAGCTACACCGCCACCTTGGCCTCCCAGCTGCAGGCCTGCCCCTCTGGCCCCCAGGCTGGAGCACAGGTTAATATGGGCCCAGCCCCAGGCAGAGCCAGCCCCCACCGGCCCCCTGGCAGCAGGGCCCAAGTGGCAGCTGTAGTGGCAGGTGGACCTTGGGCAGCTGCACTGTTCCACACACTAAATTTAACCAGCAGCCTACCCCCAGCCCTCCCCTAGCCCTGCTGATGACACGCCCCAATCACCCATGCTCGGGAAGGGTGGGCCATGCAGGCACTGGGCTGACTGCGTCGGCGTCCACTGGAGAGGAGAAGGTGACCAGAGCCCATGACACCCACTGCTGGTGGTCATGCAAAGCCGCCTGCCACAGACAGATGAGCTGGCAGTGCCCTCAGCCCTCCCACGTGGGGCCCCTAAGGGGCCCCTGTCACCCTGACACAGCGTGCCCAACCAGCCCAGAGCCTGAGAGGCCAATTGCTGGCCCCCTTTGCCAGCCCAGACGGAAGCTGGCAGCCAGGCCCCAGGATCGAGGCTGCATGCCAGGAACAGGGGACCTGCCCCCCCAGGGAGGCTTCTGATGCTAGCCTTGTACTGCTTTGCTTCTCTGGCTCTGGCCCAAGAGTTTCATGGAAAACACCCCCTCCCTTTCTAAGCCAGGATCCCTGCCACTCGGCATGAACACCCGGAGCCCTGGCCCCCAAGGAGCGCCCTTCCAAAGCTCTCTGCTCCCCTCAGGAAAGCAAAGAGTTACAGAGGAGCCTCCAGGAAGCTGGGAAGGCAGGGAGACAAGGTGCAGTAAGGCTTCTTGCCCTGTGGCCGTGGGCCTCACTCCTATGCAGGAGCCGGGCCACCAGAAGCAAGCCCCGGCGCACACCTACAGGCCTCAGACAGGTGCCCACAGGGACTGGCGCGCCCAGGCCCAGCAGCACAACAGCTCCCCACCGTGGGGACAGCGTCCCAGCTGAGACACACAAAGAGGCAGATGACAGAACAGGCCTTTATCAATAGTCACAGGATTAAACTAGGTCTCTGCAGCCAGGCACCCCCAAGTATGGCTTCTGCACGGGTCCATCCCTGAGCAAGGAGGCTGACATCCTGGATGGGGGAAGCCGGGAGGTCCCACACTGGCTGCCTGCCCACAGCAGCACCAAGACACACACTGGGGTCTTCAGAGCAGGGGCTCTAAGGCAGCCTCTGGCTGGGCCTGGCAGCAGGACCCCTGCCACCCTGAGCTCCAGCCCCTCACATGAGCAAGCAGCACGGCCTCTTCTCCATGGGGGCCTCCTCGGAGGGAGCTGTGAGCTTGAGCAGGGGTGGGTCTTCACCAGCCCTGGAGCCACACTCGGGCTGGGGGGTCTCAGTGTCCGCAGGGAGGCCAGACTCAGGGGCCTCAGGTCCCTCGGGTGGGGGACGCTGCAGCTTAGCAGCTGCTCGCTCACGCTTGAGCTCTGCCAGGGTGTGGTGAGCCTTGGCCCGGGCCAGAGCGTCGGGGGCAGTGCTTTCCAGGGGGCTCAGCTGGTAGGAGATACTCCGGTCCAGCCTCTTGGAGTACAGGTGCCGCCCAGGGGGGGCCCCCACTCGGCCATTGTGCAGCCTGGCCACCTCGGGATCCTCCTCCTGTTGGGGAGCGCAGGCCCCAGAGGCAGTCAGGAGAGCCTCTGTGGCCTCCCCTGGCTGCATGGTAGTCGAAGGGCAGACACGAGGGTGGGGACAGCAGCTGACCCCTATGGGGCACTAGCCAGGTATACGAGTGCAGGGTCACCGGTCCCACCAGCTCCTGGGGCGGGCAGGGGAAGAACTGAGGCACCAATGTTAGGTCACCGCCCTCTCCACGCGGAGATGGTGAAGCCCAGGCCGGCAGCTGTGCTGGGCGGGGCTCACCTGGGGGTGCTGGGGGTGCGGCAGCCGGAGCTCCACGTCTGTCAAGCCGTCCTCATCCTCCTCCAGCGGCTCTGCACTGGTGGGCGGCGGCTGTTGCCACACGATGGCCTCCTGGGCATGTTCCTTGCGGTACAGGCTGGTGCGCTGGGTCAGGCTCACCCGCCTCACCACCTTCCTGCGGGAGGGGAGGGTCAGGGTGGGAGGAGAATGCCGCCCGCCCCGCGGACTCCGCCCCCAACTCCAGCTGGCACCTCGGCCTACGGGCTGACATCAGCTAGGGAAAACCCAGGGCAATGCAGGTGGGGCGGGGCCTGGGCGGCCATGACCCAGCTCTGGGCAGACCGCAGGGTGCTCACCCCCGGCTGCCCGCGCTGGAGGTGCGTCGGCGCAGCAGAGAGCGCTGGCGGCCCTGGGCACGCAGGAGCGCGTCGTGCTTGTGTTTCAGCTCCAGCAGCTTGGCCCGCACCTCCTCGTCCCCGCATACGTCTGTGGAGAGGTGGGCGAGGGTCACGGGCGCCCTCTTGCCAGTGCCCTACACGGGGAGGAGGCGGCCCTCAGCTCACCAAGCGGCGTCTCGTCCATCAGAGACTTCCCGTTCAGGTCGGCCCCGTGCGCCACGAGCAGCTCCACCAGGTGCACCTGTGGGCCGACGAGCCCAGACTGCTGAAGGCTCCAGAGCCGCCCGCGGAGCCCGCCTATCCCGGCCCCAGCTGCCCCCGCCCCGCGCTCACCTGGCCCCAGTAGGCCGCAGCATGCAGCGGCTGCCAGCCGTCGCGGTCCTTGGCGCTCAGGCTGGCCCGGTGTTCCAGCAGCAGGGCAGCCGCCTCGCTGAACCCGTTGGCGGCAGCGATGTGTAGCTGCAGGCAAACCGCGGAGCCCTGAGTCCCGGCCCGTGCCCCTCCAGCAGCAACCTCCCCTGCCTGCCTCCTGCAGGCCCACGTCCTCACCAGCGTGGCCCCGTGGTCCTGGGGCGTGTCGAGGTCGGCCCCCGTCCGCAGCAGGCTCCGGATGTTGTCCAGCATGTGCAGCTCAGGCAAGGCCCGGGCCGCCTCGATGCTGTCCTGGGTGATGCCTGCAGGGCACCAGGCTTAGAACTAGCACCCCCGCACCACCCCTGGCGGGCAGGCAGGTGGGGTCGCACTCACCTCCATTGGCCATGGCCGTCTCCAGGCAGTCCAGTGTCTGCTCATCCTCACACAGGTCATAGGGCATGTTCCCGTCACTGTTGACCGCCAAAAGGTCAGCACCACTGCAGGAAAGATGGACAGAGGTGCTGGCCACAGGACCCTTCTCCTCTCAGGGAGGCCCCCAGTCTCCTCACAGAGGTCCATCCTCTGGGGAGGCCTCAGCCTGGGGCTGATGTGGAGGAGGTTCAGGCCCCAGCTGCTGCTGGAAGAGGCTGCCCCTCAGCCCACCCTGGTTCCTATCCTCAGACCAGGTAGGCTGTCCTGCAGTCTCCACCCATGTCTGAGCTCCAGGTTCCTGGCACCTGTCTGCCGCTATGAACATGCACAATGGGCCCACCTGCCAGGAGGGGGTGCCAGGCCTCTGGGGGCCCCAGGGAGCAGAAGGTGGTGGGAGGAGGAGAGTCTGGGTGCCCAGAGAGCCCCACAGAGCTGCAGGGAGCAGGGCTCCAGCAGGAGCACTGCCCAGGGGGAGACAGGAAGCTGAAGGGAGCCCAGAACACAAGGGTGGGTGCCCACTGTGGAGAGGAATGGAGCGGGGCTAGGAGCTGCCTGTGCACACCCGCCTTCCTGCCCCAGGACTCTGCACTCTCACCCCTTCCCACTCCAAGGCATGTGTGTGTGAAGGGGAGGGGCTGCCATCCACCTATACACCCACCATCAACGCCTGGACCAATCCAAGGACAGCCTGAGCCCCTGACCATCTGTCCCACTAGAGTCATCAGAGTTGAGGAGACATGGGGGGATCCCGGGTCATGGTAAATCCAGTCACCCTTCCCATTCACCAAGGCGAGTGTCCAGGAGCCCTGCCTGCTCCTCCCTCCTCCTCGTTCAAGTCCCCACCTGGGTCCAGGTACCCCCTCCCTCCTTGCCAATTCCTCCCTCATCACTTTGACCAGAATAGCATTTCTCTGTGCAGACCCTGGGGAGGCTGGGAGGCCAGAGCTGGAGGCCAAGGAGTTCCCAAACTCTTAATGGCACTTGGCAGAAGGATGTACCCAGGTGAGCAGCCTGGTGGGCAGACAACCACACTGCCCTGAGCACACGCTCGTTCCCTTGGGCCACAGCGTGTGCAGCCTCTGCCCAGGCCCTGCTCTCCATGCCAGGTAAATGGGGACACAAGAGGCCAAGGGGCCAGGCACACTTCCCTCACGGGAGACACCTGGGCTGCGTCTCAGCATGTACTCCCCTCTGTAAGGAAGGCCCTGCCTCCCCCTGACCCAGCTGCAGCCCCTCCCTGACACAGATGCCCACACTGGCCACGCCTAGTCTCAGGGCCTACCGGGCAATGAGCAGCTCCACCAGATGCAGGTGGCCACAGGTGGCCGCAGCATGCAGGGGTGTCCAGCACTCACTATCACGGGCGTTGACCTTGGCCCCAGCCTCCAGGAGCTGCTGCACCATCTCCCGGAAGTCATCGATGCAGCTCTGTAAACCACGCAGCCTGAGCGCCAGAGCCTCAGGCCAGTGTCCCTTCCTCTCCCCTTCCACCCTGAGCATGCCTGACCTGGTGCAGGGCTGTCAGGCCATCCTCGTTGGCCAGGTCAGGGCTGACCCCACTCTCAAGGAAGTGGCGGACTGCAAGAAGTGGGGAGCTGTGGTCAGGGCGCAGGGCAAGAAGTCCTGCCACAGGCCAGCACTGTCCTGGCCAGACCCCTGTACCCGAGGGCACATGGGCTGACTGCTGTGCTGCAGTGGGGGAGCAGAGAAGAGTGAGGAAGACAGTGGTACAGGTGGCAGGAGGGACCCCAGACCCAGAGCAAGGGCTCAGGGGCCAGGGTGCTGGGCATCTGTCTGCCCCAAGAGGGGTACACACAGCAGCCCTCTGCCTCTAGACCCCAGCAGGATCCACCCTTCCCAAATCATAACATTCCAACTCTCAGACTCCCAGAATAGGCCCCTCCTGTGTGAGAGCAGTCCCCACTGGGCTCCAGACTGTCCCACTCGGGCCTAGGTACTGGCACCCACCCCCAACCTTCCCCACTGGCAGACTGCTCCACCCCCACACATGCCCCTTCCCTGGTACCTGTAGCACCTCCCCCACCAGCCCAGAGCAGGCTCCCTGATGCAATGCAGCCTCGAGTGTGGCCCCAAGGCACCCAGGCCTGCCCCCTCCAGGGTCTCCAGGAGCAGAGCTGGTCCCTGCATTCACTCTTCAGTGGTCCCATCTTGGGCCCAGGCTCTGGTCAAGGTCCCCTGGGACCTCCTTAATGACTTGGCCTTCCTTGGCCATGCTCAGCAGGCAACATGAAGACACACCCTCTTTCCTACAGTTCCTTGTGCCTTGGCCTGCGGCACACCCACCACACCCTCCTCCACTTCCCCTGCCTCCAGGCCCTGCCCACCCTCCACACCCTCTGCACCCCAGCCTCTGCAGCAGAGGCCCCTGCCCTGGAGGGAGTCAGGAAGAGCCCTCGAGAGCCTCTGGGGGAAAGCAGAAGGGCTGTGAGCACTGGGGCACAGGGGAGGAACGGGGAGCCAGCCCAAAGCTCAGGCCTCTCATCCAGCGGGAAGGTTCTGATGGGGAGGGAGAAGTGAAAGAGCCCAGGGCAGGCGTCAAGGGGGTGCCTGTGTGGGGCCCTGCTCCCTGCGCTCTGACCTGCTGAGGTGGGTGGTCCTGTCCTCCTCTACAGAGGTGGAGACTCAGGACCCAACTCTCCTGAGCATCACCGAGCACCCTGGCAAGAAGCGGCCAAGACTCTAGCCAACTTCCAGCCTCCCACTGCACCAAGCCCTGGGTGCTTCTCCAGGCTCGTGTGGGCCCACACCAAGCCCCTGCCTGCCCCGTCAGCTTCACCCCCACAACAGGACCTCCTGCGTGCTTCCCCATCACAGGCTGGCCTCGGAGCTGCCCACCACGAGGCAGGGGCCTGCAGCTGAGGAAGCCAGGCCAGACCCTGGGCCCCCATGGATGGGGCTGTTCTCGTGAGGCCTGCACCAAGGTGAGAGGAACAGGGCTGTCGGCCATGCACTGCCCTGGGGCTCAGCCACACTCACCTTCCTCCAAGTCATTTCGGGCAGCAGCCTCCAGAAGGGTGACACTGGGAGGGAAGAGGACCCGCTTCTGCGTCCTGCCGCCGGCCGCCTCCTTCTGCAGCTGCTCCCTGTGGCCCTTCTTGCCCTGGGCCTCCTTCTCAGCCTGGGCCCACATCTTCACCTGCTGGGCCCGTCGCTTCTGGGCATGCTTCAGCCGCTCCTGCGTGCTCATCCTGCCCACCATGGGCATCTCTGCCAGCAGCTCCAGGTGCTCGGCCATGGCGGGGGCCGCCTGCCAGGGGGGATGCTTGGGGCACCAGACGGGGGAATGCAGGGGCCAGGCCGGGCCTGAGGGGCAGGGCAGCTGGCTGGACTGGCACCCTCGGGGGCATCCCCTCCCCAAGGTTCGGTGCCCTCTGCCCCTGGCAAGGCTGGGTCAGGTGGCCCCACGCCGTGACCAGGCCCTAGGCAGAAAGGACAGCGAGGGATGGAACCAGCAGCCTGCCTCTCAGGAGCCCCAGCACCGCAGCCGCTCAACAGGCAGGGCCTCGCCTCCCTCTTGGGGTCAGGGTGCACAGCCTGCGGGAAGCAGCCGGGACCTGGCCAGCCTCAGTCCAGGGTCTGAAGCTAATTACCCAGATAACAAAACTGCAGCTTCCTGGCACCTAGCCGAGGGGGAAGAGAGGGCCGAGCAATGGGCAGAGGCCTCTGGTGCCTAGAAGCCCCCCACCTTCCAGGCCTCAGGAGCCTGGGCGGGGCCTGGAAGCAGCCATGGCCTGGCCCTTCCTTCGATCTCCTCCCGCTGCCTTCCAGGGTCAGTGCATGGGTGCTAATGAGGAGGTGTGGCCAGAGGGCGGGCTCAGCGGCCAGAGAGAGGCCAGGGCAGGGCGTGTGCTCAGAGTCCTGGGGTCCCAGCCCCGCCGTGCCCAGGGGTGAGGCTCTCCAAGCAGCGAGGGCACTGAGGGCACAGCGGGCCTGCCAACTGCGTCTTCAGGAGGGCCTCCCCTTCGCAGGAGTCGGCGGTCAAGCTGCAGACAGCAGGTGGCTCCCACTGGCCTGAGGAGGAGGAATGAGGAAGCACATCAAGGCCGCTCCCGGGTGAGGCAGGCCGGGCTCCCAGCAGCCAGCAGGTGAGGTCAGGGCCCTGCCCTGTGTGAGGCCCACCCGCTGTCCACAGCAAGCACTGCTGGACACCAATTCGGGCAGAGGGGAGGAGGGCTTTCTCTGCCCCATTCGGGCTCACACACTCAGTGTTTTCAGAAAGGGCTGCCACAAGCTGTGCAACTGAGAGAAGGCAGCAGGGAGGACCGCACTGCCAGCTTGAGGTGGGCCTTCCCCATGAGGCTGCCCCTCCAGGCCAAGGCGTCGGCCTCTGGGAGTTGTTCTCTGCAGCTTCTCAAGTCCCAGGCTCTGGCCCTGTCCCCACAGCATCACTGACCCGTCTGCCCCAGGTGAGGCCAAGCAAGGTCACCTTCTCCTTGGGATCTCCCAGAACTGCCCTGAGGGCTGTGCAGGCTACAACCTTCCCAAGGCCAGGCCCTGCCTCCTGGGCCTCAGGCCTCCCTGCTTCTCAGCTGCTGAGGGCAGAGGGCACAGCCTGTCCTTACCAGCACCCAGTTCCTACCCACCCAGCATCTGGGCCTCTCCCTCACCGCCTTCCTGGCTCAGGCTGGTCAATGCCCTGGCCATCCTTGAGCTGCAGTAAAAGCCTTGGTTGTGTGCACACAGGCACAGGTGGCCTGCCTGGCTTAGGATCTATCAGGACAGGCAGGCAGGCAGCTCGGTAGGCACATAGCCCCCATACCCACTACAGCTCGTCCTGCCCAGCACCCCTGGTGTGGTCACAGGACACTCCTCAGGAGGCCCTGGCCATACTCCAACCAGAAGGTGCCCACCCACACCTCAGCTTGCTCATCAGAAGCCCCCATTCTCACTCAGCCAGGCCTCGTGGCCATCTAGGTACTGACCCAGCCTTCCTCTGGCCAGGCTTGTTCTCAGGGGTCTCAGTGAGTGCTCCCTTCTTTCTGGAGGGGAACTGTCCTGGGCCAGATCAAATTACATCAAGTCCCTCCTGCTTTGGGACCCCCAATGTACCTGGGAGCTTCACTTGACACGTCTGACCTGCCTGGACTTGCCCTGTGCTTTGGTTGTCCACTCTGCCAGCCTGGCCTCAGAGGCTTCCTGGGGATAGGGTGAGACCAGCAAGGCCCAGGAAAGAGCTTTCCAGGCAGCACTCGTGCTCCAGGCAGCCTGCCCCCAGCTGGCCACCTCCGCAGACTGCTGGGGCCAGGGCAGACACACACTGTCAGACACCCTGCCTGGCCCCGGAGTCCTGCCTCTGCCTTCCGAGACAAACCTTCCCCACGCCCAGACAGGCCGAGGGCCAGGTCCTGCAGGCACCCTGCCAGCTCTGCACCATGAGGGTGAGGTGGGTCCCAGACCACACCCAGAGCATGCCACAGCCCTCACGCCCCTCCTTCCCTGCTGGCCACTCACAGCTCCCTTCATGCTCCCCCAAGGGAGCTGGCGTGGCACCCCTCCCCAACACACACACACATACACCCCCTGCAAGGTGGGACCTTCTCTCAGTCTGTGGGCCTGCCGGGGAAGCTGACCTGAACCGCCCACCCCAAGAAATGATGAGCAAAGAGCTGGGCCCCCAGTCTCCAAAAGGGGAAGGGACCTGAAGAGAATGCCACCCCCCCACCTTGTCCATGAGGGAGGTGGCCCCCCAAGGCCCAAAGCTCCCCAGCAGGGTGGGCACAAAGGGTCTCAGGGACCAGTTTCACTTCTCCAAGATGGGTGCCAGCATCAGAGCCACCACTTAATTTTGTCAAGTTTAACAAGATTTAGATGTCATCTAACCTATCATTTCACAGAAGAGATTCTGATGCCCACATCTGATAGAAAACCACCTAGAATAGCAACCGGCTTCTCCAGTTGAATGCATGTTGTCTTTTGGTCTTCTCATTCTGAAGGCCATCCATGAAAATTCATCACAGAGCAGATCTGGAGAGCCTCAACCCCTGGCCCGCCCCTCTGCCTGCATGGGGAAGAGAGGACAGAGGCGGGGCCACAGACCAGGCCCCTCTAGCCCCCACACCAGGAGCACACACAGAGGACTCCGGTCTCCTGGTCTGGGCTGTGGCAGCCTACACAGGCGCTCAGCCTCCAACTCTGATAAGCCACCTTCTTGAAGCCCCGGTGCCCTCTGGACCCCTATACAGTGCTGCTTGCTGGGAGCTGCCTGAGGGCAGTCTCTATGTGAACTTAGGCAGGTCCTTGGGTGGCCCTAACGGCCTCCTCTGAGAGAAAGGAGGTGCCTAAGGTGACCTTAAGGAGTTCCAGGGCCCCACTGCAGTAGGCGCCCCATCCTAGGACAGTCTCCACTGGGGGAGCTGCAGTGCCCATGAAGGCCAGGAGAGCTCGTGGAGTCCCACCAAATGGCCACCACACCACACCCAGGCCGAGGGGGGCTAAGCAGGGCGGCTCCCACCTCAGTCCACAAATCCTCCCCCAAGCCTCCCTGGAATGTCAGAGATAATCTGGGCAATTTTTTCCAGTTTTCAGCTCCATGCCCAGGCAAGTGCACAGAATTGCGGGACCGAAGTGGGAGGAGCCTCCTGGAAGGAGAGTGGCCACTGCCCCCATTCTCTCAGCCCACACCACCGGGCCATCCCCACAGACTGCTGAGAGCACTGCTGGACACCTGGCCTTGGGGACGGGAGGCCCAGTGCCCAGACCCTGGCCCAATGTGGACAGATCCCATGCGGGCCTAAGTGCCTTAGCAGCCCCTCCACATCCACTACCACACCCCTCCTCCAGCAGGTCCCTGTCATCATCCCCATTTTCCACGTGGGGAAACTGAAGCCATACCTAAATCCAGAGTCCCCTATTAACCCCTCCATCATCCTGCCTCTCATGCCCACTCACAGCAGCTGTGTGAGAATTAGGGGTGCTGCGACAAGAGCCCAGAGCCCACGAGGGGCAGTAAGTGTCACTCTACTGGCCCAGAGACAGGGAGGAAGAGATGAAGGGGCCTGCCTTCCCTCTGGTTCTAGGGGCTTCACACCCCTGTCGTGCTGGGCTTGTTGGAGTCAGTTCCTATAACTTGCAATCAAAAGAGTTGGTTTTTGTTGTGAGGAAGATTAGCTCTGAGCTAACATCCATGCCAAGCCTCCTCTTCTTGCTGAAGAAGACTGGCCCTGAGCTAACATCCATGCCCATCTTCCTCCACTTTATGTGGTACGCTGCCACAGCACGGCCTGATGAGTGGTGCGACAGTGCACGCCTGGGATCTGAACCCGGGCCGCCAGCAGCAGAGCACGCGCACTTAACCGCTAAGCCACGGGGCAGGCCCCCAAAAGAGTTGGTTTTATCTGAGGCATTATCTATAATAGCAAAAAATGGGCAACTACCTAGATGCCCTCCCTCTGGGATGAGTAGCGGGGGTCCTCATTCCATAGAATAACACACAGACACATCCATTAACAGGATGAGGTCATCTAGATGTCGTGAGCGAGGGCCTGTGAGGAGTTCACAGAAACTCCAATGCAGAGCTGACACCGTCCTGGTGGAAGGTGGGCTGTCATGGACACACGCTGGTTTACTTGCACAAGCAGGGAAGGCGTGGGGGCGGGGACTGTGACGCGGGACTCATGGGGCAGCAAGGGCACGCAGCCAGGGGACATGCTTAACCTCCTTTGAGGGCGGACCCCTGTACCCATCCCACGCTCTCACCCACCCCCACCCCAGCTTGGCTCACCTTGGAATTTTGTCAACACGGCGTGTCCTGACCCCTGCAGGCACAAATGCCCCACAGTGGCTTCTCGGGCAGGCAGAGGCCAGACACCAGATGCCGAGGGCACTGCTGTCCCAGCCTGTCCCTTCCACTAGAGGACAAGTGTGCTGAGGGCACGCTCCCTGCCCGTCTCCTCAGCCATGTGCCGGCACCTGGAAGAGGGCCCTTCGGTCAGTGTTTGTGAAGGGCCAAGGGGGCAAGGCCAGGTGCAGCTCAGTGCAGCCAAGGAGTGGATGTGCTCAGGCCCGAGGTGCCCTGTGGGGCACATCCAGTCAGGGAAGGAGCCAGGCACCTGGAGACCCTCCAACATGACAAGTGCAGCACCAGGCTGTGAAGACGTGGCCTGCTTCACAACGGGCACTTGACTGGCATGCATGCTCTGGTCACTCAACAAGCTCTCCTCACTCCCCTGCTCTACCTGGCTCTGCTCTGGGGACAGGGTCGTGGGACAGGAGGGCCAAGAGGACAGGCCCTGCCCTCAGCAGAGGAGGCTGAACTTTACCCAGGTGGAGCCATGCCCCGCGCGCTCTGTGCTCTCAATCCCACCCCGTGCATGGGGTCCATCCACTCCAAGGTTTGTGGTTCTAAGTTTTTGGCCCTTGGCAGAGTAACAGTCCACTACGTGACCATACCCCCATTGATGCAGCCTTCTACCTTTGAGGGCCCGGGGCAGTTCCGGCCTGGGCCTGTGATGGACAGGCCACTGTGAAGGCCCTGTACGCAGACCCTGGTGCACACCACTCAACCACAGGCTATGTGATACGAATCACCAGATGCTGCAACTGCTTTCCAAAGGGGTTGTACCAATTCACCTCCCAACAGCAGTGGAGGAAGGTTCCAATTGT